TGTGCCTGTCGGTAACGGTGGATTCTCATTTCGTTCAAAAATCAAAACAATTAAACTACTAGAGAAAAAACGATACGATGAGAGTACACCGGAAGATGTTTGGTATGGTATTAATTTGCCCCTAGTTAATGGAACAGTAGCACCTCCAGAGATTGTCAAAACATTTTCTGTTGAAGCTCTTTATTACGAAAAACCAATGCCACTTCATAAACTCTCTCTAAGAAAAGGCGATATAAAATAATTATGCGCTAGATGTCCAGAAGCAATGTACATTCCACCATTTTGCAAAAAAGTAGACAAAACAAGCCCGATTGAAAAAGCTGTTGGTCTTATGGAGTTATGGGACTTTTATTGAAAGCATCACTATGCCCAGAATTTAAAAATGAATGAAAAAATGCGTAATAACAGATAGAAAAATCATTATTTCTCGATGGGTTTTGATGTGAAAAGATGCGAAGTGTAGCTAAAAGATAGTGCGAAGTCAAGGCTACATAATGGCTGATTCAGGTTTTTTTACTGTCAAAATGTTAACACAAAAAATCGTTTCTGAGTTAGAAAGTTTTCATTTTTTTATCTTTCGTATAATTTGCATAGTTTTCTTGACTGGAATTCTGATATTAAAGTTTAACTATGGTTTTGTAGAGTATTTCGCGGCGCATCTGGTAAAAAAGACGCTAATCTAAGAGTCCTAAAGGAACACGAGAAAAATAGAAAATACTAAGAGAATCATTCTTTATGCCGCATCCGTTATACATGGAGTGCTACATGAGGGTACTGGAGAAATATATTAAAAGTCAGCTGTGGCACAGCATGTTTCAACCATTATTAACTCGACCCTGAGATCAAGCAATATATATGTGTCTTGTACTAATATATATTTGAAGCACCATTTTTTAGTAATTTGAATTTTTGCACATTTCTTTTAAATTAATTGAATAATTATCTTGGTTTAAGAGCACTGGACGAAAAATTATGTTTTATATTGATAAAAACATTGTACGATTTTCTTTATTCAAGAGGCTATTCGATTGTACTTTTCTAGCAATCTTCGTCTACTGCACTTTTCCTGTAGGTACCTCGTCTAGCAAAACTCGCACAACCGTCAATTCATTTCTCATCTTTCCGCCTGTTTCGTGTCAGCAGTTTTGTCTTTTTCTCCATGTTTTGTTCGACGTCAACCAATTTTTCTTGTTTTCTCTCCAGTTTTTACGTGAATTTGGTTAGTTTCCGAGACCGATTGATACACGACGATGAAATATTTCTTAAACTATTATTTCTTAATAGAAAGCAAAATCGAGTTTTTCCCGTTTTACTTTAATTTCGGGAAATGCTAATGTAAGATTCTCGCTGACATTCTGTTTATCGTTTGCCGATGGTTTGAACGTTCCAGTTGAATATGACGAGACCCTTTGGCTACTAAAGCACAGTATGAAGGCCCTGTTGTATCAGCAGGCAAATCAATCGGTTGCTCATCCATTTTGTTTCGTATCAAAGAAGTGAAAACAAATAGAATAAAATTGTTTTATTTATGTCTTCCTCCTCTACAATAGAAGGTGACTATCTACAGGTGTAACTCAAAACTGTCCTTGTAACCGTATAAAATGAATTAAAAAATCGTTATATCGTATTCAGAAATATTTCGTTATTCGGATGAAACTTTGATTCTGGCCCGTTAGTTTTAATATGCTGAGTATCAATGAAAACAGCTGTGTTCATAAAATGACATTAAATGCATTCCAGTGTCAAAATTACATGAAGTTTGAAGATTTATTTAAAAAAAGACGACTAATCGCAATCTCATCCAGCTCTCAACAATCCATGCCAAGGCAATAAAGCACCTCTTGATATCTAATTATCTAGCATTTATACAATATTTCATGAAGAATCAGTAGAAAGATAGAAATAATCATAAAGGTTACAATATCGCTTATTTATAAAAATTTCACTCCTCCTTATCTGTTTCAATATCTTTAAATTTTCACTTGGAAAAATGAGTTCTAGAAAATCAAAATTGATGTTTTTGTAGGTAACTCGATGAGTTCCGCCCAACCATGACAAAAAAAGAACCCTACTAAAGTGGCTCCGACTTGGTTCCATTTTTGTATATGTATGTTTGATGTTCAACTGCTAAGAGGAGTCGTTTGCGTGTAAACGATTTTCTCCTGATGATTAATCTTTCTTTTAAAACTACTCGTTTACTCCAGTACTGAAACCGTACAGTCAAGTGACCTGCGAACTTGCAAGCCCTATTTCGTTTTTATACGCCAAAAGAAATAAGAACATTTTAATGATATTAAAATATAAGAAAAGATAGTGACAAATATCCAGTCTGATAATCTCCGGTCGGAAAAAATATTTTTCAGACAAACGCTGGTTTTTATCTAATATTTGAGAAGATTTCTAGTATTTGTGTAGCTGAGAAGTAGTCTAGTATTTTAATGATGTGAAACAAGATTTTATTGTTATGTGTGATCTCTTTCGACAAACAGATATATAGTCTTCAACTAGCGCAGGTTCATGCATAAATATGCCATTGAGAAATCACTATACATAAAAACTTTACAAGTATGTGTACACAAATGCTGTTGTATAGAAAATTCTTGAAATGCTGAACACTGTGCGAATAAAATGAAATACTGAATATTATTTGAAAGAAAGTAAAATTTTCTTGTGATATATTTGAAATTACAATGGAAAAGAACGAGAAATTTATCTGATTTTGATGATGTAGTAGAAGAAAGCAGAAGTTGCCATAATAAGCACAATTTTGCAGGATTATGTTGAATAACAAAAAATATTTAAATGTAGAGTGTGTTATGACTTCAAATATTTAGTTTCAGTTTTCCTTATCTAGGGGCAAACAGTCCGCGGCTTGTCCACGTAACTCCGGTGGCAGAGATGGCATCGTGTTACCTTTTTGCTCATTTTGTTTTGAGCATAGCTCCGTTAAGAAACTTTCTAGGGAGCTCTGGAACATCTCAAATTGCAGAAAAAATTCTTTTAAAGATTTTTTCTGCACATATTTTATTTTCTCTGAATACTCTTGTAATGAGCCATACCTCTCCGACACCGACGCTCACCAGCAACCGATGCGCCTCGTTCCGTCTTCTCAATTAACTCTTGTATTATTAAACAATAATCGTTGACATTTAACCTCGCTTTAGGCGTTGTAGAATTGGGCTGCGGAAACAGATGTAGAATGGGAAAAGATCAAAAAGGATCATGGCATTCTTCGAAATATCGTGAGAAACATCGAAAAGTAGCAGACTGTAGCATTCGATCTAATACTTCTAACGATTATAATGAGATTCATTGTAATGTATCAGGGTTATAGAAGCACAAATTACCTCTCTCGTAATTAATTTGTTCGTTTTTTCTATTTAGATCGATAAATATTAAGAACGTGAAAGCTAGTCGGTCATATGCATACTTCATTTTCGAAGTTTCGATGAAAGAGTGAATTCCTGAGAGAGACTCCCTTGATACAACTTATCCTGTTGCCAAGTATACCTGAAATATATCCCGGCGGTATATAATTCACTTGTTGATTTTTTGTATCAATATATGGTATTTTACTATATTGCACAATATAAGAAATACATAGTAAAAGAACAGACAAAATACAGAAGAACTGGGCTGCAGAAACAGACCTCTCATGGAAAAAGATCAAAACGGATCATGGTAGTGTCTCAGAAAGTGTCTCAAAATACTCGGTAGTGTCTCAGCAAACTGGTGGATCAGCGTCGTTTATAGTTTATAATATCCACTTATTTTCGCGTTAACCACTTGAGCTAAGGTCAGCACTGTTTTATCAAAAATAGCATTCAATTTAATAAAGATTCCATGTCACCAAAAGCAGCAGAATTACGCGAAAAACTGTTTTTCATCTTTTTTTTCAAAAGTCTGCTAAACTTTGGATTTCAAAAAATACATTAAACATCATTCTGTAGTTCTTTCAATTCTGCATCTTTCTACATATAAACCATGCTAAATCTCTGTCTGTAGAAGAAACTATAATCGTTTTTATGCGCCACTACAAGACAAAAAACGAGTCAAGGATTTGCCCAATGCATGTTCGAAGACAAACTTTAGAAATAATGCGCTCTAGCTCATTCGTGGCCTGCATAATTGTCTATCGAATGATATATAAAGTAGAGTGGTTAATGCGGAAATAAATGGATATTATAACCATAAACGACGCTGATTCACCGGTTTACTGAGATAGTACCGAGTATTCGGATCACAGCCTACTCAGTTACATGTTCATATACATCATTTTGTAGCCTGCAAAATTCTCTATGTATAGTAGAGTGGTTAAGAACAAATTAAATGGATGGTAGAAACATGAAGAGGTTGACCTACCGGTTTGGTGATATAATACCGAGTACTTCGAATCATAGACTATGCAGTAACAAGCAGTAGCAAGAAATATAGAAATTACAAATGATGTATTTCTTATTATCAAAGAGACGTTTAACTTCGAAAATGCAAACAGCGAGCTCTAGAGAACGTACTTGGGGCCAAGTACTTGGATACCTGCAGAAAAGCGCAAGTACTATGAACATTACTTGCTCAAGTACTTGGACTTGGAATATCCATAGTTTGTGCAACACTCTCGCAATCGAAATAAAGAAATTCCGCTACGTTTTATGCTGAGTCAAAAATACGTGACAAGTACTCAAATTTACTTGCACAAGTACTTGAATTTTTTATGTGACTTGTGACAAAATTGCAAGTACTGTGGACATTACTTAGGCATGTACTTGGACAAGTACTTGTGTCAAGTACATTCACTATGGAGGATATTCAGACTTAGATTTAAAAAATGTTGAAAAAGCATTTCATTACTTGGCAGCTTGTAACAAAGTATCAGTATTATACAAAAGTACTTCTCTACTTTTTAGTTTAAAAGCATTTGTAACGCACTATAGTAATCATGTTCATAAAGAAATGAAATGTTTTTTATCAGACTACCATTAATTACAAGAACAGCGAAGAGGATGATGTTTGAAAAAGCTCAAATAGTATTGAGTCGTCTGGAAGAAATATCTGACGTAAATGTAAAATATCCTCGCATTTTTTCTTGTTTTTCTGGTGAAAATGTATATGAGCGGTGGAAAAAAGAATTATCTCGTAATTTAATTGAGTTGTCTGATGAAATTGTAAAATTACAAAATACTGAAGTTTTGAATACAAAATTATTGATTGTAAGAGCATTTAGTCGATTAGATGGCTTCTCGCAAGGTGAAAAGTACATCAATTTAGATCGTCACTACCAAGAAAAAGTTTATACACAAACTAGTGAAGTTTGTAAACAAGTAATAGATGCTATTAAAAGTAATGCGAATGAACGTGTTTCTGTCGAAATGATGACATTATATTCATCAAATGTTAGTAAACATTTTTCAAAAGAAGTAAAAAGAGCACTTAATATTGGTTTAAGTAATTTAATTGATGAAACAAAAAATCAGGCAATTATGCTTGGAGATAATACAGAATTACAACAAATAAAATCTATAATAAAAAATTTAAAAATAGTTCAAATTGCTAAACAATTTGTGTCACAATACTTAGATTCACAAAATGATGTGGATGATTGTGTAAAAGAAGTGAAAAAAATAATTTCTGATCGTATAATTCGTTTTTCAGAAGAAGTCGAAGTATTAATTATCATCAATAATTTTTATGAAACTGATAAAAAATTATATTCTGTAACTTTGATAAGAACATTTTTAGGAAGTTATTGTACTAAAGAAGCTTTTGATAAAATTGAAGCATACAACAACCATCACACTCACACCACCATTAATAATTACACCACCGTTAATAATAGTTTTGTTCGAGAAAAGTCTCTCCATTGGACAGTCTCCAAACAATTTGTATATCGTTGTGACTCGAGAGTTCAATCATCTTTGTTCATGATCAGTTATGTGAAATGAATCGAGATCACAACATTTGATTGATGATTTTGAACAAAATCTGACAACGTGTTGGTTCTCCGATGAAATTATATTCAAGCTGTTTGAAAAGATTTTATTTCCTTTGTTTTTTTTTAAACGACCTAGTTTTAGAAAAGCGGAAAAGGTCGAATGCTACAGCTTCCATTCAAGCTCTGCGTAATATTTAAAAGAGCTCTTTTGAAGATGAAATGGAAAAATTATTGAATAGAATTGAAAAATTGAACACATAATAAAGAGGAAGAATACATTTTGAGGACTCTATGATGAATAGTCGTTGATCGAGCCTCCAGGACGCGTGCTAGAACGGATAAAAGACAATCAGTATTTGTGCAGAAAATTCCGTTACGAACAACTAGAATTTGCTTTTTATCGTGACAACAAAGATTGAAAGATTTTCGTTTCGGAGTTAACAAATGGGAAATAGCTCACTATATGAACTTTTCAGACGATATAACCCTTTTAAGGCGAATGTACGTTCTGTTCTAATTCAAGAATGTTAAATTAAGACTCTTTCATGTGTCTTCGTCATTAACCCTTTCGATCTGGCAATTTTTTTCGTCTGCGCGAGCATGGAGAAAAAGCACTGATTATTTCTCTCTCATGTTCTCTCTTTGCCGGTTAGCCATCTTGATATCATATGTGCCATGTAGAAAGGCGACAAAAGGCAGAATTCTTCCTTTATGTTCTGCTTGTCATCAGTTGATGTCAACCGGATTGAAAGGGCTAAAAATACATAGCAACGGAATGTTACTCGTCGAACGTAGGGATGGCACTTTTCCATTTCTTTCCAGAGTAATGGTAAAGTGGTATCTTTTATTTCAAAAGTAACGAGTAAAGATATAATGCATACCTTTTCTTTCCGAAGAAAAAGGAAAGCGGGACCGTTCCTTACCCGGAAAAAAGCGGTATCTTTTCTGAAAAAAAGAAAAGATATCGCTTTTCTCTTTTTTGGAAAAGAAAAGGTATCACTTTCCTTTCTCTTAGAAAGAAACGACATACATTATATCTTTACTCTTTTCTGTTGTAAAGAAAAAGAAAAACTTTTCTTTTGTTAATAAAAAATGAGGTAGGAAAGAGAAAGTACCACACCTAGTCGTACGATTCTTTTACATTTTTTTTTATTCCGAATGTTGATCGAACAACAAAAATAGGATTGAATGTCGACCAACTTTTCTTTCCTTTAAAATATGAAATTTGCTTCGAATACAAGCAGCGAAGAGAAGAAAAAAAGATTATTATTCTTGGCAAGACAGCAGTCAGTCAGTTTCTATTTTTCATTTCATGACAAACACGTCCTTGTGCGAAGTGAATAAACGAAGGTGTGTATTTAAAACAAAAACTGCTGTAGCTTTCATTGGTAGAACTATTTTGGGGGCTCCAAAATATCTTGATCACTCGATCTACATTTACTGGTTATATTAAAAAGGTGCTGTTTCGCCGACAGATCCTTTCAAAATATATTCTCTGTAAGAAATCCTATTATTTTAAGATACCTTGAGAAAGTCGATACGTCCAACAAATGAACGGATACTATTTGTTTGACTATGTTGCATGAACACCAATAGTCATTTTAGGAAGTCTATGAAAAGAAAAGTAATTTTAATTGTTTGTCACAGCAACATTGCGTTCGGTGCTACCTGAATTTGTGGAGACGCGTGAGATTGGTTGTTCATCAGACTTTCTGTATCATAGAATCATTGTATTATTGTTTGTGAATAAGTGATGGCAGATGCGTCTTCTGAATTCAGAATAAACGACATGAAATTTTCATGGTAAAGTCCTATCATGATTTGAAACTCGCCAGCGCAAAGGAAAAAAATTTGAGCTCATAGTGTAGAAAATCGCCATCCCTGTGGGAAATCCCTGTGCAAAGGAAACGGCAAGTAGGAAACAGCCGAAAAATTAATCTCGCCATTTCGACCTCAAATTTTAGTCACAGATACCGGCCATAGATATACGGTTGCTCGGGAAAATTCAGCTTTTTACATCAAGTCCTTTACGAGATATTGCTGTCACAATTTGGAAATGGCGTCAGATGTTGTCAGACCTCTAGGAATCATATCTATCTATCTTTGGTAGACTTTAAAGAGCGTAAACATGAATAGCTCGTCGATCACAGCACGCCACTTGATAATAAGATTTGTCAAAATTAACTTAGGAACTTCGCATATTTCTGGTTTGGTATTGCATTTTCATGTTTAACAACAGCAAAACGAAACAGCTTTTGGATATTTTCTGTGTGCTGTTTTTGACTATCCTAAAGTTTGGAAAGGATAATGAGCGTTATTTTTTATGATATTCCTAACAATTTAAATCAGGGATTCATTCAGTAGTAGATAAAATCAAAACAGAAAAATTCCATGAGCATTGGTACACACCAAATGAAATTAGATCACTTGATATTTTTATGCAAAAAATACCGTGCTATTCTTATTTTAAACTGTTTCAGTTCAATTTGTCGTTACACATTATCCTATTTATTATTATTTGGTTAGCTTATTAAGTAAATTTCAAATCTATTCAACTTATTTTCAATGCGTATCTATGGTAGTAAAGCCTAATTAGGGATGAATCGAGAGACATTTGAGTAAAAAAGCGAGATGATTATTACACAATTACTCTCATTCTTGTTGCTTTTTAGCTATTCAGTAGTATGGAACACACATGTGCTGGCCCCATCGTTCCCGCTCACGACTCGAGTTTCAGCGAAAGTCAAACGGAAAATGGCAACCGTGAACGGGTAGCACTCAATGGAGGAAAACACGTCATGCTGTCTTATAACTGGAACAGTCAAACTATCGTATCCAAAATCTATCAAATTCTAAAAGATGAAAATATTCCAATTTGGTTTGATATACAAGGAGACATGAAACATAATATATATGAAAGGTATGCAAGTTAGTATTTCATGTCTTAACGTTATAAGTATACTTCACTTTTACTTAGCATGGCTGACGGAATAGAAAATGCTGCAGTCGTTTGTTGTTTCATGACACCGGATTATCAGAAATCTGAGAATTGCAAACTCGAATTACAGTATGCAGAAAAACGAGGCAAGCGCATCATTCCATGCATGCTTGGTGATAAAGCGTGGAAGCCCTCCAGCTGGCTGGGATTGATAACCGGAGGAGAACAATATATAAGCTTCCGAGATGATTCTGCAGAGAACATTCGTTTGAAAGCAAGACAGCTCATTGATCAAATAAAGGAGCAACCTCCAACGTCACAACCAGTCGATGAACCAAGTTATCTATTCGAAATAATTCGAGTCGAATATGAACGAAACAATCGCATTGAACGAATAATGAATCCAGCAAAATCTGTTCCAATCGAGCAAAGTTACATTAACTTAGCCATAGTTGAAATTAAAGAACAACAAGAAAAGGAAAAGATGCTTCGTGATGCTCAACACAATGATGCGATCATCGGCATCTTTGAACAGATCTACGGCATGAAGACTGTATTAGACGTCAAGGATATTTTTAACAAATGCAAGGATCAAACAAAGAATGTGCTCGTACTTGGACGAGCTGGAATTGGAAAATCAACATTTTGTCAATATGTTGCATACAAATGGGCCACAGGCGCAATTTGGTCTCAATATGATCTGCTTGTTTTGATCCCCTTACGCTCCTTAACAGAGAGTCGCTACCCTCCAACAGCACCCGGAACGAGCTATACTCTAATTGACCTGGTGAAAAAAGAATATTTCGGTCATGGTCTTTCTGAGAAAGATGACAGACTTTTGAGAGAGCAGTTTCATAAAAGTCAAGTGCTATGGCTTTTGGATGGCTATGATGAAATTGTGCAAAATGTGCCAGGACATCTACAATATTTGTTTGAACAGTTACTTAAGACTCCACATCATATCGTGACATCTCGTCCCTACTTGAATAAGTTGTCGTACACGGTGCAACTGGAAATTACGGGCTTTACAGATGATAATATTCCGGAATATGTGAAGCAGTTCTTCGATCAGACTGGAGATGCAACACACGATTCAACATCCGCAGACCAAAACCTACTAAGCTTCTTAAAATTGAACCCCAGCATCTGGGGCGTCGCACATATTCCAATCAATCTAGAATTAATTTGCAGTATTTGGAGTGACACTGATTGGTCCGAAACAAAAACACTGACAATGACAGCACTGTATGATTGCATTACAGAATGGCTATGTCGACGATATTTGACAAAACAAAATGTTGATATTCAAATGACTAAAGAAGATGTTTACGCAGATTGTCATAAGGAATTGGCATTCTTGGAAACATTGGCGTTTAAAGGAATGGAAAACAACACTATAATTCTACGAAAAGAATTGCTGCAAAAAGCTTTGAAGGACGCTGAGTGCTCGTCAAAGCACTACGCGCGCCTACTCAATATCGGAATTCTAAAATCGATTAACAATCAGTCAATTGGAAATCAAATTGAAGTACAGAAAGATCACTATTTTATTCATCTCAGCTTTCAAGAACATTTTGCAGCACGATACTTGGTGAAAGCTCTCAACGGTTCAGGACGTCAAACAGCCATCGACTTTATCAAAAGTCACAAGTACAATCAACGGTTTCAATTAGTGTTTATCTTTACATCCGGTCTTCTCGCTCAGACTAATTCTGAATCATGCACTGACACATTCTGGGACATAATATTAGGAGAGCCAACGGATTTGGTTGGTTTAAGACACATGCAACTAATTATTTCTTGCATGGAGGAGACTACTAATAGTAGCTCAAGTTTTCGTCGACGTACCGAGTTGATGGATTCTGTTACAAAGGGGATAATAATTGCTGTATCCATGAAGCACGATATTATTTACAAACAGCTTAACGAGCCATTACGAAGGAGTGCTTCGTTAGTACATGACTCAACAATACAAGACACACTGATCACACTGCTCGAAAGCAAAGAGTCGAACACGAAAAAGAATGTGCTTTCATTGATTTCGCAAATACCGATTTCCAATCCATCATCTCAGCTCATTCATCTACTCCTCCTCCACCTTGGCGATGAGCAATGGTATATCAGACAGAGAGCATGTGAAGCATTCGAGAAAATGGGTGAAAAAGCAGCAACCAATGATGTGATGAATAGGCTGGTGACTGCACTTGGAGATGAGAGTCATTATGTCAGAATGAGTGCATGTGATACACTGGGGAAAATGGGTGAAAAAGCAGCAACCAGTTATGTTATTAACAGACTGATTGCTGCACTTGGAGATGAGAATGAGTATGTCCGACACAAAGCATGTGAAGCTTTGGGGGAAATGGGTGAAAAAGCAGCAACTAATGATGTTATAAATAAGCTGGTGACTGCGCTTGAAGATAAGAGTGTGGATGTTAGATGGAGGACATGTGAAGCTCTCGGAAAAATGGGTGAAAAAGCCGCAACCAACGATGTTATTAATAGACTGGTGATTGCACTTGGGGATGAGGATCGAAATGTCAAACGGAGAGCATCAGAAGCTCTCGGGAAAATGGGTGAAAAAGCAGCAACCAATAATGTTATGAATAGGCTAGTGACTGCACTTGGAGATGAGGATGTGAATATCAAACGGCGTGCATGTGTAGCCCTCGGAGAAATGGATGAAAAAGCAGCAATCAATTATGTTATAAATAGGTTGATGACTGCAGTTGGGGATGAGAACGGGGGTGTAAGAGAGAATGCTTGCAAAGCTCTTGGGCAAATGGGTGAAAAAGCAGCAACTAATGACGTGATCAATAGATTGGTGACTGCACTTGCGGATGAGAATGCGAATGTCAGGTGGCGTGCATGTCAAGCTCTCAGGAAAATGGGTGACAAAGCACCAATCAATGACGTGATCAATGGGCTGCTGACTGCACTTAGGCATGAGCATTGGAATATCAGACAGAATGCATGCACAGCTCTCGGAGAAATGGGTAAAAAAGCAGCAACCAATGACATGATCACTGGGCTGGTGAATGCACTTAGGGATGAGTATGGAAATGTTCAAGAGGCTGCATGCAAAGCTCTCGGGGAAATGGGTGAGAAAGTAGCAAATAATGAACTGATCAATGGGCTGGTCACTGCACTTGGGAACGTGTGGCCGGATGTCAGAGAGAGCGCACGGAAAGCTCTCGGGAAAATGGGTGAAAAAGCAGCAACCAATGATGTTATGAATAGATTGGTGACTGCACTTGGGGATGAAGATGTGAATGTCAGATCCACGGCATGTCGAGCTCTCGGGGAAATGGGTGAAAAAGCACCAACCAATGACGTGATCAACAGACTGGTGACTGCACTTGGCGATGAGAATGGGTATGTCAGACGGTGTGTATGCGAAGTTCTCGGAGAAATGGGTGAAAAAGCAGCAACCAATGATGTTATGCATAGGCTGATTGCTGCACTTGATGATAAGAATGAGTATGTCCGACAGAAAGCATGTGAAGCTTTAGGGAAAATGGGTGAAAAAGCAGCAACTATTGAAGTGATCACTGGGCTGGTGAGTGCACTTGGAGATGAGAATTGGAATGTCGGAATGAGCGCATGTGATGCTTTGGGGAAAATGGGTGAAAAAGCAGCAACCAATAACGTGATCAATGGGCTGGTGACTGCACTTGGGAATAAGATCGGACATGTTAGACGGACAGCATGTGAAGCTCTTGGAAAAATTGGTGAAAAAGCACCAAATAATGACGTGATCAATGGGCTAGTGATTGCACTCTGGGATGCCGATATGTCGGTCAGAGAGAGTGCATGTCGAGTTCTCGGGAAAATGAATGAAAAAGCAGCAACTAATGATGTGATCAACGGATTATTGAATGCACGTCGTCGTGTTATCGGGTACAGTAGTGCCAACGAAACACTTGAAAAGATTCTTTTTTCGTTCTCGGGATTAACACAATTATCCTCGGATACAGTTTCGAAACTTTTTGAAAATATGAAGGAAGGTCAGTTGGGTGCCTTGAGAACTGTTCCTCCAGATCAATTTGTGAAGGTGTTTCTGCATACAAGAAGTACTGTGTGGCTCCCTGTGGTAACCGTCGTTGCACTTCTGCAGGGAAATGCGGTTACAGTTACTGGCAACACTATTGTGTTGTATGGCAGTCAAGAACCAGTGCAGGTGCCCATTCCTGATGAAGAACTGCGTAGAACATTGGTTGAAGCTTTTGTTCATCAGGCAGAAGAACTTGAGTCATCTTCTGAGCTTTTGGCGAAACCGAAAATGGTCTCTTCCGTATGCGTTCTAATGTAGTAGTCTTCATCGATATTATACGTGTGACCGTAAATGTTTTCATATGTAATGTAAACTGCGGATTTTTTATTACTTGATTGTGAGGTGCTATTATTTGGTGTCTTTTCTTCTATGATTAAGTTCGAAGGCAACTATAGAACGAGAACAAGGAATTTTTGCGGATCAGTATGAATCGCTCCCACATCAGTCTTTCACAGCTAAGTATGCTTGACATCTCGAACCTGAGGGTGAGTTCAAACTGCCATTATCGCGATTTCGACTCCGCAGACGACGAAGTTTTATCAGCATTATTATGACATGGAAAGTTTGATTGTAGTAATTTTTTAATTGTTATTTTTTATCTTTTGAGTAAACTCTATTAATATGATCTGTCGTGAATAGTTGATGTATTAGAAAAGATTCGATTTCTTTTTTGTGAAAGGGGGCGCATAAGGACACATTTTGGTCCCTCATCACTTTTTTTGTCCAATATCATTCAACTATATATAGCACGAAAAAGCATGAGTTTCGGGTCATTTTGATGCTAAATTCGAGGTATGTTGATGAAATTTTGTATTTAATCACTTGACCATACATTCCATCCAAAATTCAACATTTGGTCATTTAAAAAAACTTAGTTTTGTTTTTTCTCAAAAGAGAGTTTTGGGTTTGGGCGTTTTCGTGCTTCCCAGGTTTTTCCGCCATTTTAAACGCTAGAGCGCTGGATTTGGTCTCAAAACGAAGCAAACAGTTAGCTCTACAGCTTAGCAGTGTCGGATTTTTCGATTTTCCCCTCAATGTTAAGCAAAGGTTAACTGTTGTGAAAGTGTACCCCTTACTTTTTCCCTATTTTTCAGAAAAGCTGTCTGAAAAACGAACTACAAAAAATTGGAAAATTGGACTCTGTCAAGTTGTAGCTCAAGGTCTTGGCTACATTTTAAAACCAATCCGAGATTTATAGCATTAGAAATAGCGGAAAAATTTGGGACGCACAGACACCTATATTGTGACCCTTAACTTTAGGCTAACTCTTAGCAGACTCAATATTCAGAGCTGAAAGTTTTTCTGTGAGGTGTCCACCCCGAGATACATCTTCTCTGAAAATTCCATCAAGACTGGATCGTCGAAAACGAAAAAATATTTTTGAGAGGGTCCCCTTAAACCGTTCGGATTTTAAGAGGGTCCGTTCGATTCGGTCGGTTATAAAATTCAGTTGGTTCGGTTTGATTTCAGTAATAGCAAAAAATCATCGATTCAATTCGATCCCAGCTTGGAAGGCTCCGGTCGGCGTCGATTCGCAAAATTCTGAACCGTACAGGACTCTACACCCTATTCGTTATCACAGCAGGGACGCAAGCACAAGTACTTGTAAATCTCCTCCCGTAATAGAAGATCCGGGTCTTCTAATACGCCCGAGCGTACAAACTTTCTAGGAGTCTTCTAATACGACTTTTCGGTAAAACATTTCAATCAAAGTTCAAAAACTGATTTTCATATTTAATATTACTATTTTAGCTAAAAATGATCTAGTAAATACCTCCTTACAATATACTATGCTCGTGAGCAATGATGCACAATTGGGTGGCTTCTTGTTTGTGTGCTCCTGCTTCTCGAGAAGCGCGTATGCGGTACTTCTCTTAGATCGCTCCGACACTCTGGACTTTTTTCACAACAGATGCACGAATGGCCACGGAAGCACCTAAAAAGTCTATCAAATTGCGTGTACTTGTAAACAGTGTTCTATATTGACGTAGTTGGAATACCTAAAACGTGTTTTTTAACACATTCTCAATTATCTTGAGGTTAGTTTATAAGTGTGAGGCGATTGGCTGTAATCGTTGTGAAAATTAGTTTACTTAGATAAACAAATGATTGGATTTTCGGCGAATCTAGTTGTTATTGACACTAAATAGAACCACTTGTGAGAAAGTTTCATTTGAAATTAGATATTCTTGTCGCTTCTTCACATTCTCTGGCTTTGGAACAGTAAATACCAAACTGAATCAAAATGTTAGGCTGTTTGTAAAAGACCGAAACATCCAGTTTATTGTCTACCAGAAGAGCTTGAAAGAGAGTTGACAAACTAAATAATGATTCGATTTCGATGAAAAGCTGAAGCAAATATTTGGAATGCTAATCATGTTTCTAATCAAAAGCTATTTTGAAAATCCTGACGGATAGAATCATTCGATTAGTCAGACAACATGCCCATTTTTTAAGCTTGAGCCTATGGTAATGTGTCATACTGTGCGACATAGGCTAATAGAAACATGAAACTGACTGCTGGTTAAATATTATAAAATTTGTTTTTCTATTTGGCCTTTTTATTATGTTGCGTTTGCTTGTAACCTCGTTTGTAAAGATGGAAACGTCCTAATTAATTTTTAGCACTTGTTAAGAGTTGTAATGGATAACGAAGAAAGTCATCTGACGAGAACCTCGAGTCACTAGTAGCGAGAAACTAGTAGCGAGCCGATCTGATTTTCCATGCTTGTAGTGTATCGAAGACATAACAGCGATAAGAGCAACACTTATTTTTTCATTAGTGATCAATAAATAAATCTCACTAAAGTGAGTAAACTGCTCATTTAAATGCTTCATGATCCAACTTAGGTTATCTGCGATTAATTCCAGTGATTTCTTTAGCTCAAAACTTTACGGTAGAGAGAGGAAGATCAGGGCTATTAAGTGAGGGATTTTTGAACGAATTATCCCCTAAGCTTAATTAACCAGCAATTGTACATTAAAACTCCATGTATTTCAATGAAGTGTCTCTATTTACCCCTCAATCTGGCTCAAACTGCTCGGACATTTCAAAAGATTCTCACGTGATTGAGATTGAGCATGTATGTGAATGTATGTGAAAAAATGTTCGGTCTACCACCCTTTTTCAATAGCAAGTTTTTCCGATTAAAAATGGCCAAGAAACAGCAAAAAAGGAATGAACATTTTCAAAGAGTGTCCCTACTTACCCCGAAGTATTATATGTGTCATGAAACATTGAAAAATCATTCTAAAATCACTCTAGTATAAAGTACTAAAAAACGGCCTAAAAACGGTTCGTTAACTGCCCGTTATTAGCCAGCTAATGGCGAATTTGTTTATGAATAATAGATGGTCTGGAAACGTTCAGCATAATAAAGTTGGTTTAGAGTTGCTGAAAAGTGGCTTTTCGTATTCATCACATTCGATAACCCAGAAGATTTTCTGTTTTTGGCCCGCGGTACTTCCGAAAGTTTAAGAAAAATTTTGAAACAAAATGGCGTAAAAAGTTTTCCATGGAAAAATAATATTAATTTGAAAACTTTTCCTAAAATTTCGGAAGTACCTTGGGCCAAAAACAGAAAATCTTCTGGGTTATCGAGTGTGCTGAATAGGAAAAGCCACTTTTCAGCAACTCTAAACCAACTTTATTTTTTTTCCGGTGATATGTTTAGTGTCTATTATTATATCACAAAAGTCAGATAACGATTCTGAATATGATTGATACAAGACTTATATTATTAAGAAAACTAACTAAAGCAACGATATGAATCGCATTCAATTTCTAACGTTTTGATTTATCAAAAATCATTATCAAGGAATCCTTGATTGGTTTAAGCTTTAATCTTGAACCAGAACGAAATCGAGAATATAAATTCCCATTATATCATTCTGAAACTTAAACTATCAAAACACAGAATCAATCCTTGCACGAAGCTAGGATCGAACACACAAACTTGATCTTTGCAGACGAACTGCAAAAATCAACTTCGCAATCCTTGATTGCAGCAAGAATATATCTGCTTTAGATATATTCTTCTTAATGAAAACTCTACCTATTACACATAATGTAATGTGAAGAACTGCGCATTTTTTCATGAAATTCTGTGAAAAAAACTTGGTATTTTAAAAATTGTTTAGAGTATTTGAACGCCTGCTGGTACTCTAGACGACTGAGATACTTAAGGTGATTTCTTAGTTTGGTTTGAAGGATTAACTGATGGATTACTTTTTTCTTTCAATAACTGGTCAGTTTGGACCTTGTCTACCGTAATGATACTCGTCCTCAGCAACCAGTTTGTTATCCTTTGGCATTGGCGTTAACGGAAGTTTGTCCACCATTATCGACTACCACAATTACAACAACCGCTACATCATTAGGAACAAGTACGCTAAATAACAAGTGAGCTTGTAGTGCTACGTCATCTCAGGTTTTCTTTCGATTCTTTTCAGCTATTAGCACAACTACAGCTACACGAACTTTCGCAAGTAAGCGCTGTAGCCGTAGTTTAGTTTCAGTATTTCTTTTCAATAACGTCAGAAAGCTAAGGTAACTATAGCATCTTTCTTGTCTTCAGCAACCAAAACTCTTTCCTTTGCAACAGTCAAATCAGCTGCTAAAATCCCCTCTCAACTGTCAGAACTTCCGCTAAGTCGACATCAACCAAGACGACCTCAACAACGCCAACCATGTTACGATCAATATTTGTCTGACAGATTGAGACCGGATATACAGTAAAAATGGGACTTAACAAAGAACAGTCATCTGGAAATAAGGCGGATGATCCAGATGGTACAATAGCAGCTAGCCGGTTGCTTATGAAAATTAAGAAAATATGTGGTCCGAAGATTGAACTGTGGTACTCCGGATGCAAGTGCAATCGTACTCGAATAAGGGTTTCCAATTCATACACGCTGGCAACGATTACATAGATAACTAGAGAACCGCTTAAATGCCGAACCCGTTACTCCTTAATAGAATCCGATGTGGTGAAAAGACACTGTTTGCTCGGTTCCTGTGAGATGCTAAGCCAATGGAATTTTTGTTCCAAATACTAAGCTATATATTGACATGAACTGAGTTATGGGGATCGAATTATATACTGTGGATGATATATGAACACATTCGAGCTTATTGAAGACCGAAAAAACACTGAACACCGCTCCCTTCTCCAATGTTTGTTCTCAAACTACAAATTCGAAAGCTATTTTGCACTAAATTCAAACTAACCTCTTCAACGAATATAGCACATGAAAATGTACTAGAAAGTATCGAATAGACAATAGCAGAACTAATTTCTGTCGAGTTAAAGAGATCAGAACAAATTCATGCCACACAAATCACTAACTTGAAACAGGTGCCGAATGACCGAATTAGCGCCAGACGAGTGAAATTCTTTGTGAAACTAAATCTATCGTTGCAGTAGCTTGTAAACCAGCGATGGGTAGGTTTAATATCGATTTACTTTAGCTTGGCGTTAGTTTATTCATGTTTTATTTTGATTAGCTGAGGAACCAAGAAACTGTCTGTGTGTGTGCACAATGACCACATCAACGACAACCGGTACAAGCACAACCAGAGCGACGTCAACCAGTGCAACCACATCAACTAAAAATGATAATTGTTGAAAACAATCTGATGAAATATTGGAAATTCAAGACGTTTTCAGCCGCTCGATTAAAATAGACATTGCTTCGTTATTTTCTATATCTTGTTTATTTCTAACAAAAATTGTACTTTTGTTGTTTTCTTGAATTTGCTTTTACTCTCGACAAGCGGACAATCCAGGCATCTCAGCAAAGGCATTCTTGAGATTTGTGTCATAAGTACAACATTTTGAATTGAATCAAACAACTTAGTTTGGAGAAATTGTTTAAAGTGCTTTAAGCAAATGAATAGTGAGAGACTCTTTGCTAGCTTATTTATGTCTATGAGATCAACAACTTTACGATGTGACCCAGTGATTTTCGATCAAAATGTATAGTAGATAAAAATGTGTGGTTTTCACTGTTAGACATAAAAAGACAACTTTATGCTTTGAAAGCAAAAACGAATTTCGAAAAAGTTTCTAAAGCCGGTTTTTCAGAGGATCTTTCGAAAACGAGCTCCGTTTTCAGAAGATTAAGATACAGCGTTAGTAATTTTTTTGTATGCGTAGGTAGTCCAAACGTTACTCTGCAAAATTATGCAAGTCCCAGCTCTCGAGCTATCGTCGTTTGAAAAAGGCTCGCTTTCTCCGAGGGCGCCATATATTGTTGGTCAAGCCGAAAACTGGTCCGACACAACACTGAGGCTTTAAGATTTTCAGAAGTTTCTGGAAAACCTTAAACCAATGCCCAGCTGAAATTCACCTTTTTCGTTGTTCGATTCTCTATATTCCATGGCATTCCCAGATTCCCAGAGGTGTCTACTCGGAAACAGCGAGCTCTTTTCAAACGACGATAGCTCGAGAGCTGGCGTTCAAATACTCTAAACAATTTTTAAAATACCAAGTTTTTTTCACAGAATTTC